CAACAACAGCAACGTGAATATGAGATGCAACAACAGCAACGTGAATATGAGATGCAACAACAGCAACGTGAATATGAGATGCAACAACAGCAACGTGAATATGAAATGCAGCAACAACGTGAATATAATATGGGAATGGAAAAACAAAGACCTCCGCAATTAAGTCTAAATTCTCAAAAGACACCATTACGACCATCATTATCACGTCAAAACTCGTACTCATCAAATATTAATGATTGGGTAGAGAATCAAAGATCACCACTTATACAAGCAGATTCTCCTAGAAGCTCAAAAGATGCTTAGGAAGAAGAGTGGATGAGAAGAAATAGACCTACTACGGCCGAACCTCAATTGCTTGACCCTCGCAGGGAATATGATAGGCAAAGAAGATCAAAAACGCCAACTCGTGGCGGAGAATATGATAGACGGAGGGACAATGGTAATTGGGAGGACAAACGTATTTCACGAAGTTATGATATGTTTGATGGCAGAGATAGTCGGCACGAGATCAATGATAGAAACAGAAGAAGAGATTTAGAATGGAATGATAGAGGACGGCATCACGTTAAGGATAATGATATGAACGACAGGTGGAGCAGAGATAGCGTGTCCACAGACAAAGAACATTTAAGCGAGGGACATGAGGAAGATTTTGATAGTGTCAGCGAATTTGAGCTTAATCAAATGGATAATAAAGAAAAAAGGTCTATGAATAAACCAGTTGGACGTGTAGTTTCGCTTCCACCACCGCCACAGAACTTTGGAGTTACTGACTTTGAATATCGAGATTCTGACATGGCTAATTTAAAAGAAATTGTAGAAAAATTGGACATGGAAGAGAATGGAGTAAGTTTCATTAATATATAATCATTAAGTGGTTCATTATACAATTTAATTAATATTAATTATATTTTAAAAGGAGAACGCAACAGAAAACTTTGGCGTAAGCCGACCAGCAAGCATTTTTATTTCGGAAGATACGTTGAAACATCTTTCTAATACTTTAACTGGCAACGTTAATCCGTTCTACTTGAACCCAGATGAAAGATTTAACAATGGAGATGAACAAACCTTAACCACTATACAAGAAGTTGAAACTTCTGAGTTTTCAGAGATGCACTATCCACCGGAGAAAACTCCGTCCCGAAACAATCCAATAATAAATAACAATGGTGTATTATCACATTCAGAGCAGATACCGGAAAATGTACAAGCTTTTCCAACAAACGCTGAAAAGGTTAACGAATCCATTAATTCTCAAATTCTTCAACCAACTGAAGAAATAAATGGAACACGTTCTACAGAGCAACAAACACAATCCCCGACATCCACAGTAAGAAAAGAAGGTGCATTACCAGGTGCTCGCGATAGGGCTCTAAAACGTAGTGAATGTACGTGTCAATTTTTGAGACAGATTTAAAGCATATTTTTAACATAATTTATTGCCTTTAGTCATGCAAGCAGGACCACCGCTTCCGGCTTCTGTTCAGGAAAGACGATTGTTGCTCGTTACTCACTTAGCACGCCTTAATAACCATGATGTAGACATAAGTCTTTTCCGTAAACTGGCTCGATTATCTAAAGAAACACCATTGTCAGATAGGGAAACATCCTCAGACATTTGGGAAAACGGAGATAGGTTTTCTGAATTATTAACAGCATTAATAGGATTCCTGAGCGATTTCGATGAGGTTTACTTTAATTTTATAATCCATCAGTTTCCGAAAAAAAAAAAAAACCCCTCAAATATTCATTTTCTTATCTTCTTTAATAGGCTGCAGAATTAAGGGAAAATGCAGTTATGCTACTTGGTCAATTACTTACTAACCAGCCGGATTACGTTAGGGGTTCTGAAGGAATAGTTTTACGAATTTTATTAGAGTGTAGCTCTGATCCATCAGCAAACGTAAATTGATTCTTTATCATCTTTCTCATTGCTGAAATAAATTTTGACATAAAATCGTATTTTTGTAGGTTTGCGGTCAAACGGAAGAGATTTTAGAGAATTTTGCTCAAGAAGTTGATTGCAAAGTTGGCTTATATGCTTTGATTGAAATTATGGAATCAACCTTATTTGGTAATTCTTTGGGGTGTGAATTCTCCTGGTGGCGATAATATGTCTTCTAGTTCGCGGGCAACTATGAAAAAATACGCTTTTACGGCATTATCTCTACTTGTCAAAAGGTTTGACAAAAAGTCTTTGGAAAGACTAATTGGTATAATTATCCCATTAACAATTAAGGTTGGTTTTTGTTAAATTATGAGATAGGATTTATTATGTTGGCCCAAATTATTTTAATTTGTTAATTAATCAAAATATGCTTTTTATCCTAGGGATTTAATGATCAAAAATCAGAGATTCGTAAAGCTGTTGTCGATACACTTGTTGTAGTGTATTCAGTTCTCGGAGATGACAATACTTTATTCCAATACCTCGGTAGCCTAAATCCTTCACAAAAAAGTCTTCTTAGTTATTATTTTGACAAAAGCAATAAAAAAAAAACTGTATCTGCTTAACAATCGTATAATAGTTTAAAATATGATATTCAGTAAATTTTTCTAATTCATAAGTTTATTTTTTTTACGAATATATAAAATTCTACTGTATGTTATTCATTATTAAAATCATAGGCCTGGGGTTATTCCCCAGCATGATTTGAATATATATGTTTACATAAAATGACGATTACCACTTTTTAAATGTAATTCATTTTTGTATCGTAATCATATGAAACTAAAAAATAATTTAGAAATGACAATTTTTTAATGATGTATATTATAACTTATTATCTTGCAAATAAAAATAAATAGGATTTATAGATCGTTGATTACAAAATTAATACGTCACTAATTTAATTCGAAATCAGAAACCTGAACCTTAGGTCTGAAACCCCCTATTATGTGAACTATATACATTAAATAAATGGGGTCTTTGCTTTGAAAATGACCTTACGGTACATGATACCGTAAGGTCATTTTCAAGGCAAAGACCCCAAATGATTATGATCTTAAACTATGCATTTAAAACTTTATTGAATTATGCAATAGCAGAAATTTGCATTTGAAATGAATTTTATTATTTTTAATAAATTATAATTCATTTATTCATTTTAAACTATTATAAATTTGTATATTAGAACTTTTTAAAACCTAAGGACCCTAGATCCTTAAATTTGGACTGGTCTTTAAAGACCAGGTTTAAAGATCAGGTCCTTAAGTCCCGGACCTAAAAACTTTACCAACCCTAATCTCAAATGCGTGATGGATACATCATCTTTAATTTCAAAGAATAAAAAAATAAATGAGTTAAAGCTCTTCTCTTGGAAAATAATAAAGACAATAAAATTTATGCTTACGATTCGAACACTCGCACCAAAACTCTTTGGGGGAAGATTCTTTCTGAATTTGGCTTTCACGACACCACCATTACCGTGAGGCCTAAATATCAAATGCTCCACATAATTAATAATAATGAATGCAAATAAATGATAATTAAATTAACGATAACAATTACCTAGTTACATGACCCCAAATAACGCGAATTTTACTTCCGTTTTTCTACATGTACCATTATAGTTGAAATAATGATGTAATAATTATGATTTAAAAGTAATTTACTTCAAATACCTCACGCTTGGCACGATATACATAGGCTACATGCT